TCTACCTGTAAAACAATGATAACAAGAAGAGGGAGGGAGGGAGGGAGGGACTAGGGAGAGAGATCTATAAATCTATACCTCTATTTTCCCGATAAACTTCAATGGTCCAAGAGGGTTTTGATTGATCCTATGTGGGTTGTTGGGGTCCTCGTGTCAACTATATATATAAAATTCCACCCCCCACTATATCTATAGAAAATTTCCTTACATATTCTTTTCTCTCCTTAAAAGAAAAACACACATTCAAATAAAGAAAACGCACACCAATGTAAACATTCCATCCTCTATGGTGGGCTGAGTGTGGTTACTTCGCCCCTAAGTTGAGGGTGGCAAGCAAGAATGGACACGGAATGAATCTTGGCCGTTGATAGTGCATTTCCATATAGGGAAAAATGGAATGCATGCATGTAAATTGAAAGATACAACTCGGAGGTTGTTTTGAGGTAAAGAAAAGAAATGAGTTTCCATGTGGAATATATGAAGGTATTCGATTCAATAACATTTAATCTTGTGGGGTTCCAAAGTTGACAGAAAGAGATGTATAGTGGCGTAGAAAGAGAGACTGATCGTATTGTTTCATGCAGTCTTTTTTAGCACACACAAATGTAGGGATGAAGAAAGAATGGTCGGTGTAATTAATTGTCTGCTGTTCTATAACCATTCATGGTGGTGATTGATGATGATGATTAACTCTAAATCATATAGTGAGAGAGAGGTTAATTAAGTAAAGGTGTTGGAGCCTTGGGGTGTAAACCAGTTGTCACTCACCACGTGATTCCTCGTGGGGGCGGCCAATTTTTACAAACTTTTTAACCTATAACAGATTCTCGCTCGCTCTGTACTCTGTAGTAGTAACATTTAGATTTTCATAAGTGGAAAATTTTTCTTGTTAATGCTCCCTAGACATACATACAATACAAGGGAGGACAAAACTTCTATACAGCGTACTAGTCAAAATTATTCTTTTATTCGATTCATGTCTATAGGCGGTAAGTAGTCCAACATTATGGCAGACTCACCATTTTCAATAATTGCGGTGAAGAAAAATCTATGCACCTAAAAGATGTAATTCTTGCGGGTGCTCATAGGCTTGGCTGTTCATCTGATCTGATCCACCGGACTGAAAATCTATGCCACAGGCCACCAAGGACGGACCATCCGCCGTATAATCTTCAGCCTCCGAACTGTATCTGAGTCTTATCAGTTTGATTAAATTCTTTGGCGTTGTCGTTTGCATTTCAACCATGAAATCATTTTAACAGCAATATGTACGTGATGGCTCAAGTACAAGCAAAATTGTCTCAGAAATAGTCACCGGACAAACTGCTAGCAAACATCCGGAATTGACATGTAAGGTTGATGATGGTGTACGGCCAGAATTGAAATTTGATACAGGTGCTAGCTAGCTACCCGGAATTGACACCAGAGTCACCAAGAAAATGATGATGGCGATGGAAACCTTCATGTTCAGTCTTCTGGTGGAGGTAGCTAGCAGCCTAGGTACTGGCTAAGATTATTGTTAATTTGATTTTGCAGTGGACAAAAGCTAGCCAGTGTCAAATCGTAAATCTTTTCACTTTCGCCTCATATTGATCTCGCAGCGTCATAAAACGATTGAAAATGTTGAAGGACTTAAAATGCTTATCGTTCATGCTCAAAAAGTTCACTTTGAATAGACTTTTGGGATATATTAATTTATCAGGCGACGGACTCTTAACAAAAACTTGCATTAATATTTCTTTGGAACATGTAAAGAGTTAGGATTGAAAATCTGATCAAGTGACAAGAATTTGTACACTAATTTATAAAATTGCGCTACTTATTCTCATCTACCCCATCCAACTTCTTTTGTTACCGGCCGGTGTTCGTTTAGCTGACAGGGAGAAAACAACCCAAGTTCATAAAAAATGTAATCACATCCCAACAAAATGTCCTTGACTACTTTACCAACAAATCCAATCAATCAGAAAGGAGGAGCAGCAGCAGAGCAATAGATGTTCCAGATAACAAAATCAGGAGGGAATCAACTAGGTCGGTGGGTTAGGTAAAGCCACTTTACGGGTAAGATGCCTCTCCCTAATAGTAGTACGTATTAAAAGACCAAACAGAATATTTGTCGGACAACCTGCTGCTGCTAAAAATATAAATATAATTAAGTGTGGCTTCACTTCACTTCTTTATTAAGCATATATATACTACTAATCAAAGTCCAACATCGACATGGAGTTGGAATCCCACGTTAGTGAATAAACAATTCTCCACAAAGTATTTGAGTTCACACATCATTCTATATATCCAACTAATCAAGTCAAAATCTTTGTGTAAACATGCGGAATCAGACTATTATTATTTTTGGTTTTGTAGAATAAGCAGCCCCTGTCGCAACGCAACTGCAGCGTATCATTGTCGTTCGTACAATGCATATGTTGGTTGCATTGCTAATATATATATATACTACTACTAGTACTAGTAATTAAAGGGGTTTCATGCAAGAATGATCAGCCAGAGGTTTTTTCCTCTTAGCCGAATGTTTCGAGTGACTGGCATCATGGGATGCTTCCAACTGGCCGCTGGACCACCGGATGGACCCAGCTCCAGGTTGGAAAATGATTCTGATGAATTAGGTGGTGGGCTGTGCTAAGTTTATTCATCACTTCATTCAGCTAAATCCTATATGATATTGAGGAGGATATCACAAAGTAGACTGCCGACCCACCAGAATCATGACCGGATATGATTATCTCCACAAACTCTAAAAGCATGCTGCTAATTAACTGCTAAGTAAGTAAACCTTTCTGTCAAAACTCAAAGGGTAGCTGCTCAAGGTGACGGAGGACTTGTGTGTGTTTAGCTGCTCTCTGTCTCTGTCTCTCTCTCATACACACACACACACTAATACATACATACATATATATATATATATAGAGAGAGAGAGAGAGAGCTCTAGAATTAGTGTATTATAAGTAACACTACTACTATCTAGACAAGTTAATTAGTATATATATATATATTATTACTTATTAGTATAAAAAAGAAGATTAATTGTCATCTTCATAGTTCATTCCTGTGCATTGCCACGCCATTCATGCAGTAAGCAAACTACTCGAACCAATTCTTTGTCAGTCGGCATTCTGAGAATCCACCAAAAAATTATAGGGGCCCCATCCATTATCAATTTCGATTTGTGTGGTGATAAATAATGGCTGTGCTTCGGTCATGGCTTCCCATAGGCTGCATTTGAATACAGAGGATTCGAAATTCTCTCAAATAAATGCCTATAGTTGTCTACTTACGCTATTTAAGAGGTATTTAATAATTGATATAAGTATTACAAACCCCCAAGTGCCTGTTAAGTAATCCAAACAACTATTGGAGTGATATGGATTAGATTTCAAATGCTTGGTCAAATATTAATTGCTCAAGCCAAACAAAGCCATATATATAGTATAATAGTTTCTTATATGCTGCATTACAAGCCTCTACAGTTTGAGCCTTTGATGATAGTACAGGGATTACACATGCAAAGGGGAGCAAGGGAACATTAAAACAAGTAGCCAAATGGGTAATGAATTGACACATGCATCATTACGAAAGGACAAGGACGTGGTACAATCTGGGACAAAATTCCATTGTTTGGCATATCCCTGTCAAGTAATTTCATTGAACGACCAGAAAAATTCAAATTTGCACTAGAATTAATAAAAACCAGAATTGAGGCTAAGGGTATTGCGGTTTACAATTACAAGACAATATTAATTGGCATGCCAAAGCGAACAGCAAGTAACATGTCCACAGCATCGAAAATGGTCCTACGTCAACATTATTAGCATGTGGTATAGGGTCAATCAAGCAACCTAGCAGTGCCCTCAAGAAATTTATAAAGCTATATATTTTTTTTGGAATATTTCACATGTACAACCTAGGAGTCTTTGCAATTTCAGGTCTATATAAGTTCTTATAACTAGTAATTTCAGTTTTCTCCAAAGATTTTTTTAAATGTGTCGATTTACAGCGGGGACCATTTTCTACTTCAATGTCAACTATCATTTTCCCGCGAGTACAGATAGGTCAGTTTTAGAACTAACTAAAGCCTTTAGACATGCAGAGCTTCCAATCAGCTACCTTTAGACGTGTCTTCCAAGAAGCTATTAATAATAGATGTGCGGATCATTTTTTCGGCATGGATCGGAGTCAATGCAGAAGGAGACTTTTTTGTTTTTCCTTGTAGGCCTGTGGCCATTTCAAAACTTCTCCAGGATGATTGTAGGAGCTTTTGCTTGCTTTGTTCTGTAAATTCCCCCTAAACTTGACCTTTTTTTTAAAAAAATTTAAGATTACTATCTTTCACACACACACACACAAACTAAGCCGTTATATTAATAAAACACAAATTAGACAAATCGTAAAATAGACAAGTAATGGTGTGGATCACGTCGGAATGCATAACCATTTTAACCTAAACTCGTGACACGGACTAGAGGGGGAGCGCATTGGTCCTATCTGTCAGTCATGTGGCTTCTGATTCGCTACGAGGAAGGAAGGAATGGCATTGGATGGCAACCCCAGAAAAACATATGGTACGCTGGACAACACAACCCCGAAAACCCTGTTTCCGATTACCCCTCATACCACATCACATCCCCCTAAAAGTACATAATACATAACATTTGCCCGACCCAATATGTCCCATTCCATTACCACTCGACGCTCATTAAATATACATTTATTTGGAAGATATAATATTTACTTGTCGTCACCACAAAATTCAGCAGAATGTTTAAATTTGCCTGCTATTTTTTGTTTTCCCCTTTTCTCACTTCTACTTCCCCGGAGACACCACCAAGAACAATCATCCAACCCTTTTCTCTCCCCCCCCCCCCCCCGGGGACCAAACACGTCGATCATCCTGTCAGGCATGAGATGTCATCTACAAGGGGAATACGGCAGGAGAGCAAAAAAGTTAGCGGCAGTTACATTTGTCCGTATTATAGGACAACGGCAGAAGTACAATGCTAATTAATTACTACCACATACTTTATAATGGACATAACGGTGCAGTAAAGCCCTTAACAGAAAACTCCAGGAGGCATTAATAGAGATTTACTCCTAGGCTTTGACTAAAAATGGGTTATTCTAGGAGGACAAACAACAATTCTACAATACTGGCACGACAAAGGCGCCAATTAATCAGAGGAGGAGAAGCACAATTTCTCTTGCACCTCTGTTGATGCTGCAACTAGCAACCCTTGCACCCTAGAACTTGAAATCCTTCTTCTTCTTTGACTTGCCTTCTTTTTCATGCATCTTTCTCTTCCTTTTATTCTCATTCTGCAGTAGTTTCGTCCCATTAGATAAGAGAACAGAACTACAAAAGATAAAACCACCATACCAGGAAATAAACTTCTATTCTATGCACGCACCTCAGCAACCATGTCACTGAAATCTTCTCTCTGGCTTCTTAACTTCTCTTCTTCCCTCGCTTCCTCGTATCTGACAATCATACAAGAAAGAATTAAATTACACACCAGCAAAACAAAGTCGCTGGAGCAATCAGAAACAGGCACCACACTTACTTGGCTGGCAAGACATTATCCATGACTTCTAACTCCTCTGGTGCTAATGTGACATCAACTCTATCAGCTTTCTGACCTCTAAGCAGATCAACCTGAAAGAGACCAGTATAAACAATCCAGAGTGAATTGTAACCCAAATAGTATAATTATAACATGACCTAGAAGTGACATCATCTTTACTTCTAGCAAACACCATAACACTCCAAGTTATTTAGGACATTTTTAATGTCCACGTGGGTATATCTGTTTGGAGGATCCAAAATTGCATCAACAAAGTTGTAAAACACCAAAATCGGCATTTTCACCAAACCAGAACAATTACTGACAATGTACACGAGAAAATCTCTTTGAACATGGAACCAGGACCTCATGTAGTATACCAGATCTTTGTCCTCAACTCATCAATTAGCAATGCAACAACTATACTAAATTGGCAAATCCACACTGGTCAATTATGATTGCATACTGAGCAGTCTAAGCCCAAAAAACAAGAAGAAAATTTGGCAATGGCAATAATATACATAACTAAGCATGGTCCCACATAGCATACAAATTCCATCAATGCGCAGTATCACGCGGCTGAGGCAAACAAACAACTTAGCAAACCCCACAAAGTATCAATCATCCAGAGAACATCTTCTCATTCAACATTAACAGGTAAACTACTGTAAAAAAGACCACTGCCAGAGTTTCCTAGTCATGCAGACATTTTTCAGACCACTACAGGAAGATTGTAAACAGCCAAAAAAGAGCAACCATTTGTAGACCCATCAAAAAGTTGAGATGCAAGTGACTACAATTAGCATAATTACCAAACAAAGATATCAAATATACTCACCCTTTTTGCAGCAGTCTTGTCTTGTGTGCCAGTATTGATCACATACCTGTAGGTAGACAGCAGAGTTATCTTAGTTATTGACAACCGAGGCTCTTGTGAAAACAAAGACACAAAAACTAAGAGGGATTTCTGATACTACAAGCATGATACTTACGTGTGAGTTGTTCCAAGTAGGGTTCCTGGAGCTATCCTCTCTTCTTTCTCTTCAAGCACCTTTACATAAATGCGTTGTTAGCTTCAGCAACAACACAAAGGGACAAATGGATGGAATAGGATTGGAACTCATGTTCTCCACTAACCAGATACAAAGGCTTCTCTGGCTCCTTCCTTTGCTGCTTGCGAAGATCAATAACGTCTGGAGTCTCAACGCCAGTAGGTGTGCTGTAAAAACAAAGAAGGAAAAATAAAGACAATTGAAGAATAACAAATGTGCCAAACAATTATTTAATCAGCAGTTCACTTTTCATTTTGACCATTTTCTAGAGTTTTTCAGCATGCATACTCCAATGCCTTTAATGTCGTACCAGATTAAGTTACTGATACAACTTACATTGACAAAAAGCCTTTCTAGGGCTTATCATGTTAAACTTGCAAAATGTCAACAGAAGCCACAAAACTTGTGGTGTAAGGATAACTCATAGCAAGCCATCTACCATCTTAACAACTTACAAGAATACCGTAACAAAGCACCAGATCAAACATCTACTGTAAAGAGAAAATCAAGATGCAAACCAAGATATACTGAAATACCTTGAAAGGCTATCCACCGATTGAATACCATCTTCCATTTCTTCCTCCTCAATCTGTTCTTCCTCCTCCTCTTCATCCTCCTCCTCCTCCTCTTCCTCCTCCTCAAAGTCACCCCAATGTTTACTCTTATCAACTGGTTCCTCCTGATTTTTTTATCAGGAATTGCAAAATATGTCAGGGAACCGAAATCACAGAAATCGAAGAAATCATACGATCTTGATGAATTATACAACCCTTCTGAGATTGAGAATCCAAAATTATATGCTTATCACAAAAGGCAGATAAAAACATTTTTTCAAAAGTCTCAAAAAATGCCATCTCTCAGTTTGTATATTTAACAGGTGCAAGGATTCTAATGTACCAAAAATTTACCAACCAAGAGCAGTTAATGTTACTGCAGTTACACAGTCTCATCCATCTTCAAGAAAGAACAACGGATATTTTCTAAAATTATCTCCAGAAGACACACAAGGCAATAATCAAACATAGACAAACTATGTTCCAGAAAAAGAAGGCCAATAATATTCACATCCCAACACACACACACACACACACACACAAATGAATGAAATGCTTTATAAAGAACATAGTTGGCTACATTTCTGAAAAATAAGCACGACCTTCTGCAAGAACAAAGAGGAGAAAATTTTTAATTGAAACAAGTAACTGATTAGGAAGCAGTACCTCATAATTAGGCTGCTCTTGATGAAGAACTCCAAAGACATCTCCATATATAGGGTTCCCATGCTGCTCAAGATATGTAAAATAGAAAGAACTTAGAAGTAAAACAGTTGTAACATGTGATGTACACAAAAGGAGATTGCCACCAGCAAAGATGACACAAAAAATGTGCCATTAAAGAATCAAAAGAAGGGGGGAAAAAACTTACTTCATCAACAGGTGGTTTGCCCCAGCCTCCAGGTTGAAAACCAAATTTAGCTCCAGGTGGAATAGGTGCATTTAATCCCGGAATCTTAAGATGAGGATAGGAAGGTGGGGGCCCATACCTCTGAAATAAGAAGATAATTGAACAAGCAAGAAAGAAGGCACGTTCCCTTGAACTAATATGTGCGATTTTCAAGTAAAACTGGAATTACGATGGTAATGGTAAGAAAAAGCATGAACAAGTATGTAACTCATTTGACCTGCATATTAATAAGCCAAGGAGGAGGGGCTCCTTCTGGCATACCAAGAGCCTCTTTCAGTTCCTGTGATAACATGCCTGGCTTCATTTCCCGCAACTTTACCTGCATTGAGTGCAAACAACAGTAAATCATTAAAAACCTTAAAGGGAAGAATACAAGGACACTTACACTCACTTTTTAGACGAATCTACCGGTTACAACAGTAGCACTATGCTTCACAACTAGTATAGAACATAATCAAGGACAACTGACAGGTTCATTATGACAACATATGCAATAAGACTCAAAAATATCAAACTGTTAGTCATCTGAATTCTGATGTCAAGGAACTAAGCAAGACTGCCATGTTCAGAAACAAATTCCTTAAAATACCAGACAAAAGTAATTACATCACAGTCTCTGTTTTTCATCATGAATTTATTTTCACATCTATGAATTACCAGACACATGATCACCACGCTGATCCTTCAGTCAAAACAAAAAAAAAAAATTCAATCAGAGCGTCAAATTAATGGACCAATATAACCAGTTACAGAGACATATTAACATCTATGGTTATCTACAAGGACATTGAAATTGTTGTCTAACCAGTGTGTGTGCGCATTGGCAAGACATCATCTCCAAATGACAAAAATATAGATTATGCAGGGGCAAATAAAGTACATCTTAATGCCCAGGTAAAGCATCAGGTGCATACCTCAAACTCCTTTCCTTCAAAGTACAGATCACCGTGTGTTGTGAGCTTTGGTTTGGTCTGGTATTTGAAAAATGCATCATGCAGTACCTATGATGAAGTAACAACATATGAAAAGGTGAGGAACGTATAATATGGAAAACAAAAGGGAAAGTTCTGTTTGTAAGTTGACAGGATGAAGAAACCTGATAGTCAATGTCCATTTTCCCCATCTTAGGCTGCATCCTCTCACGCTGTTTCTGTTTAAGTTTTTTACTGTCCTCCTTTTCAATATATGCCTGCATTAGCATAAAAACAGTCAAGCAGATTTTACATCCAGGATCTGACAGGAGAAATGGCACAGCAGCAGAGTTGCTAACTAATCAAATGCTTCTCAGTAAATAGAATCAAAACAGACAAATTACCACAAAACGGGGAAAAAAAGTTCCATTATTGAGTAATGAAGAACAAAAAAGAGCCAAACTCTATATTTGGATTCGGAAAATCCCTCGTCATTGACCATGCAATTGCTAAACAGAAAAAAACAGCTTGGCTTTGTCCAAACAGAAAAGGTGACCAACATGTCAACCACAGTTTGAATAAACATACAAACCAAACTTCAGCAGAGAATACACAAGAAAGAGATCAAGAATCAAACTTTTAATCTTAACCACCTGAACAAAAAATACAGCCATATTCCCAATAAAACACCTTCTCCCAACAAACACACGCGTGCAGTCTGACTTGTACCCTTCCTGGGGGGGTAAATTTTTTTCCTGAAAACTAACTTGGGCGTTCACATTAGCCTATATCTTGCGTTAGTTGATGACAGGTGGATGGTGCTTAAAATAGACTGACACAGAAACCAAAATAGAGAAAAATTCATCACCAAGTGCCTCAGCCAATCCCAATTAAACAACTAACTTCTGCGACAATGAATGCCAATTAAAAACATAATATTTCAAATTTCTGAAGGATAAATTGCATAAAGAAAAAGTCTGACCATTAAAAAAGATCAACAATGTAGTTCTTAAAATTAAGTTTTTGCTCATATCATCAAGAAGACGTACATTCTAGAACAACAAGATTCTTGCAGAAAGAAACCTCAGTAAATATAACACTTACTTGTCTGATTTTCTCAATTCCAGTGGCAGCAATAAAATCAGGAAGTTGAAAGGGCTGTTTCTCAATTCCTCGTTTTCCCTGCAAAATACGTATCAAGCCCGATGAGATAACAGCTTAACACAACTTATGTGTCTTAAAGCAACACTCACTAGGGTGTAAATAGTAACTTAGATTAAATAGCCTAGGCCAATAACTTAAGCATTAAACTAATCCAAGCCTTATGCAGGATGTAATAGGATCTGAGAATGCAAATATATACATTAGCATCCTGCTAGGTATGAGTCACTTGTTGCACTTGCAAAGGCAGAATTAAAGAGATCTATTTGCCCATAAGCAAAAGCATGGATTATTACATCCCAACCCCCACCAGTAAAAATGTTAAGATAGAGATATCAAGCAAGGATCCCCTTGCCAAACACCTACATGTCCAGGCTCCTTAGACGTCACAGCCGCTCGCCTGCAAGAACCACATATACTCACATAAGACAAACGGCATCGACTTTATCTTCCACCACACTCAACCCAAAACCCACCCTTATCAAGCCCATCATTTTCGCATTTACAGCATTGTATGGACATCTAAAAAGCATGAACATTAATACGGCAACCAATAGCTAACTTTCTAACTGCAGCTACTAACCTGCAAAAATTTCCGCTTCTGACACCAGTGCCTTGGAACTGGAACTGTATTTCTATAAGATTTAAGAAATACTAACAGCTTAGGGTCTGCAGCAGTAGCATCCCAGACCTGCAAAAAGTAAACAAGTATCATCGCAAACTGAAACAACGATAAGAAGTAGAATGGTGCATATGTGGAGAACCAATTGAAGACACCGAAATGAATTTCCTACAGTAAGGATGACCAGAACAAGAATTTTAAGAATTTTTTAAGTTCTGCATCACAAAATACCTCAACAACATCAGGTCTTGAGGAAATCTGTTTCAGTTCTGCAATTTTCATCCGACGTTGGAGCTGCATGCACACACAATGAAATGAAATAAGAGGTACTACCAACCAAAAGGAACTAGCTCTACCAGTAAAAGGAAAGCCAAGTAATTTTAGCTACAAAATACTGAGGAACGAGAATAACATCGAATACAAACTTTAGTATCAAGATAAACCTAATAACCTTTTTCTTTTTATTGGAAAGGCCTTTCTCCTTTTGCTGGGGGTCCTGCTCTTCTCCATCTGAATCTGAATCAACCTTCTTATTGGAGGTGGCATCAGGTGCAGTTTCATCCTTTTTGTCATTCTCCTATATAGATCAGATGGTGAAAACTTGGCCAAAATATTAAAGCTAGAAATACCAACACAAACAACAGCAACTTAATAAAATGAATTGGACCTCTTACCTCAGAACCAACAGCATCCTTGAAACTGAATTTCTCAAAAACCTTTCTCAATTCATCATCTAAATCACCGTCAAGTTCAGCCTTTTCTGGAACATACTCCACCTCAACTTGCTCCAAGACCTATTCAATACAAGAAAAACAAGGAAGTTAAAATCCACATAATTTTTTTATTTGATTCTCCAATGAAAACATCCAACCATATTACAGAAATGCCAAGATATCAGAATCCAGAAGCCTATTCAACTTAGCACAGATGACAAGTTTATTCAGTTAGATTGGTAGAAATTTCTTGGTTTTGGCATACAACGGATTTTGAAAACAATGCAACCAACTTAGTCAAACAATTCTCATTACAATGCAATCAACTTAGTCAAACAATTCTCATTTCCAAGAAATAAGCAAGAAAATGACACAAATCTCTAATTCATCTGGCATGATGAAACAACTTCCTGCTAGTAAATATTCTCCAGATTCCAAATGTATCCAGTCCCACAGAAACACATGACAGCCATAGACTTAACTAAAAAGCTACTTCTTATATGGCCATTAAAGAATGCACAAACATCATAAACCACGCATAAACCAAGCAGAAATGCACATATGACCAGTTACGAGCGACAGCTTTCATCATTGCATGCCAAACCGTTCAAATATCTCAAGCAGTTTCATGTGCACCCAAGTGATTTCTTCCTTGACTCTTAGCCATCAACACTTGAGAAATGCAAAGCCAATAACCTTTACTAGTGTCAACAACTGACGCCACAGAAGGTCAACGTTAATCCATACTCATTACTAATCACTTTTTTATGTTATTCAGACCTGATGGATTCTCTTTAGTCCAGGAAGGTCCAGCAATTCTTAGATCAGAGATTGACAACACATGTTTACACAAAACTTTTCCAGAGCCAATTTGGTACACTATAATATACTTTTGGTCTGAAACACCAAAAACATTCTAGTAGTGGCCAAACTGCAATAAACTTTTGTGGTATAGAATGTATTCATGAAGAGGAAAACTATCAACCAGAAAAAGACTTTTCAGATCTTGACATATTTCTTGTACTTCACAATAATCTATCAGAGAGTACAACCATTTTTTTCCCTTTGACAAAGTTACAGAAACATGTTTTGACTGTTTCTGGAAAGACAACAATTCCAAAGATGCTCAAACAACAGAATGAATATTCCAGTTCCCACCAGATCAGGAAATAAAATTGTGTTTCGCCAACAGCAGGAAAAAAAAAAAGAGGGAAAAACAATTTTCAAACCAACCAGCCAAGTACGACAGAAGCTGGTTCAGTTATGATGCTGTTTCATATTAAATCATATCACAGGAATTCAAATTACATGGCAAATCGGGAAAAGAAGAACACATCAAATATGTACAAGACAAATTTTCCAGGTATGACATGAGAGAACAAATAATGCTAGATCCTTCCTCTTTCCCATTTTTCTTTCCCAATAATATACTTTTCCACCCTCTACCAAATCTTGTGCTCAAGTTCCACACCCATTTCATTGACAAAGCAGAATGCCCTAGAGCCTGGCCTCCTAAAATTCCACAACGAATGAGTCCCTTAGATAAAGTGATATCAAATATTACCTAGACAAAATAAATATGACAAAGCACAAACAAGTAAGACAAGGTAATCACTTGCAGACCTCCTTTAGTACCAAGCACAACATAACCAAAACAAAGCATATACCCAGTCTTAACTCTTATCTCATAACATACTTTGGGATTCCTGAAAGATCTAGCCGAGACTACCAAAAAGCTACGGGATAAAGATAAAAAGGATTTCCACCACCAGTAAGTAATCAAGTCAAAACAAATCTTAGCAAAAAACTAATCTACAAAAAACGAAAAGCATAGCTTCGACAGAGTATTGTCAGAAACTTTTGCATGCACCTTCAAAATCAAGCCCTAGTTTCCATAATCATAGGATATAGTTTTTATTTCTCTAAAATCTTGGGCCATAGTTACTGACTCACAATCTCGTACGCATTTGGTCAATTTCCAATGTATGCAAAATCCACAAAATTAAGAAACCTAACTGTAGCATGATCCATAGAAAAAGAAAAGCAAAAGAAAACACAAGTAAAAATGAAACATACCTTTTGAGGATCCGAGTTCTCCTTGGCGCTATCATTATCGGTGGTGCCGTTAGCATCCTCGGAGGCGGCAGCGGCATTGTCACTCTCGTCACCGGTATTATTGGTCCCAGACGCCGCCTTGTTCTTCTTCTGCTTGCGCCGCCTCCGGCGCCGCTCGCTCTCCCGAGATTTCTTGGCAGTGGCGCTAGGGTTTTGGGTTTTCAAGTCCCCGTTCGGATAGGATAAGCCCCCTGCAACGCCGTTCGCTACCTCGACGGTCATATTCCGATCTCTCGTCGGTAAAATTTATTCTAAGATTTTTCCTATTCTTTAATTTCTCTCTCTAGATCCTGTGTTTTTTCTTTTTCTTTTTCTTTTTTTTGTCAAATCTCTAGCTCCTGTGTTGAGAGGGAGCAAATGGAGAAGGCAATGAGTCGAGGGAGAAATACAACGATAGGAGATAACGACGACTGAAATTTTTTAAGGAATGTGCCAATCTGGCATTATATATCTTCGGGCACCGTAAACTAATTGGGCTTACAGATAATACAAGAAAAAATTTGGGCCTTTCGAGTCAGAAAGGCATGGCCAATGGGATCACCTTAATGATATTTGGGCTTAGACCCGTTGTCAAGTTTAATACTCTCTCCCTTTTTTTATAACTGACGTTTAAGGTTTTGCACACCAATTAAGAAAAAATTTTCATTACTTAAATCTGTACACTATTTTACTTTTGTACCCTCATTAATTGTCCAATTCACCCATGTTTTCTCTCACTAGAGTATTAAATGGTGCTGTTTTATTAGACCAAAAGCAATGCAAAGAGAGAAGCAATAATTACTAGGAGTAGTAATTAAGAACCCTGTATTGGAAAAGAGAGATAAAAGGGTAAAATTGTGAAAAAATAATTAATACTGTATAGGGATAATAAAACGACAGATAAAAGTACACTAGAGCAAATTTCTTAAACGTCAGTTATAAAAAAAGGGAGGGAGTAATTGGTAATATTTGTTTTAAGAGTTAATCTTATATACATTCATTATTAGAAACATGAAATTTATATAAAAAATATTCAAATTAGTTATCATATATGTAATAGTGCTAATGTCTACAATGTTGGTTTGTACAAAATCAACTAATATCAATTTTAAATGCTACAAAAGATAATTGAATGGCAAGACGGAATATTAAAGTCTATCTTATGAGCAAAATAAGAATGTTCTAAAAATAAAGGTGACAATATATTCAACTTCCAAGTCAATGCTATGTTTCTTGAGGCCGAAAAAAGAAAAAATAAATAACTAAACAAAAACCTTAGCAGTACAAGCTTGTTTCTGCGGATTGTTAATTTGCCGCCAACGCTGAAAAGAAAGACAATGTATTGAGTGAAGCAACATTTTTCCTGCATTTTTTCCTTCTACAGCCGTAAGCTAGCCTATTGGCCTTAATTTTGCTACACTTAGCGGGACCAATCCTTTTAAGAAGATGTTAATGCTTAGTAGTATGGTATACAACCAACCAAGCTCTGAGGAAACCATGAAAATATTGCTCCAAACACACTACAGGCGAGAGCCTGAGATCTTGCTGGCTCTCCTTTCTTCTTTGATGTTTTAGAAGGGAAAGGAGAAAAAAGTGATAATGAACCATTTCTTTATCAGACTCAACTGTTTGGATATTGTGATATTTTGGTATCAAAGGTAAATATTCTGAGGGGGAAAGAGCAAGATGGAACTCCAAGAAACTGGGAACGTGGGTGTCCCAAAGTACAAGAAGACGGGTTATGATACAATAGAAGAGGAAATTCAGGGTATTGCATGCAAAGAAAATGGAAAAAATAGCAGCAAGAAATATGTACTAGTCTGTGCCATCTTTGCCTCTCTAAATTCTGTGATTCTTGGATATGGTTTGTACCTTTGCCTTCCCCTCTTTGAAATTAACGGTCATTTTGTGCTTCAGTATCCATTCTTCAATCTCTTTTCTTTGAACTTTACCTCCTTGATTTACTGCTTTTGCCAATGTGATTATGCAAGGCATGATCATTTGTTGCGGATGATCAAAGTTCGAATTCTCAAGAATGGGAAAATAAAATTGCTGAAAAATGCTAGATACTTGCATTTTTCTGCTCAAGATCAAGGCTTCAACAGTAGATGCCAGGAATTTTATATATCTGTTAGAAAAACAATATTGTTTATTATAGAAAATTAACTGTTACGGTTAGTTTCTTAAACATTTATTCCTCCAGACAATTATCGTGTTTATGCTCCATTTTCCAGTTTTTGGATTATTCATAATCATACTCATTGGTTAGTTCCATGGTACTGATACATAAAAGTCATTTCCTGCTAACTAAACCAGAATCCTATCAAAATTTTTGTCAACTCCTATAGTTCCCCAAGCTTGATATATCTTTATTGACAGCTCACAAGTAATAAATATGAAATCACAGATATTGGAGTTATGAGTGGAGCAATATTATTTGTTCAAGAAGATTTAAAGATTTCTGAGTTACAAGTAGAAGTCCTTGTCGGGATTTTGAGCATAATTTCACTGGCGGGTAGTCTAGCAGGGGGTAAAGCATCAGATGCCATTGGTAGAAAATGGACTATGGCATTTGGTGCCATTGTGTTTCAATCTGGTGCTGCTATTATGGCTCTTGCTCCCTCTTTCGAGGTGCTAATGGTCGGAAGGATTTTGACTGGGATTGGAGTAGGCTTTGCAGTGGCGATTGCACCTATATACATTGCTGAGATATCCCCTAGTGTTGCTAGAGGATCATTAACCTCCATCCCCGAAATTTCCATTAATTTTGGGATCCTGCTTGGTTATGTTTCAAATTATGCCTTCTCAGGACTGCCCGTACACACAAATTGGAGGATCATGCTTGCTGCTGGGATTCTCCCTTCAGCTTTCACCTGTTTTGCTCTGTTTATCATCCCTGAATCTCCGCGGTGGCTAGTAATGCAAAGCATGACTGCCAAAGCCAGGTTGGTGCTTCTCAAAACAACAGAAAATGCAAAAGAAGCAGAGGAGAGATTAGCTGAAATACAACTAGCTGCAGGGCTCGCCAACGCTGAAAGGCACGAGGAGAGATCTGTATGGCGTGAATTACTAAATCCGTCACCCGGGGTTAAACGGATGCTCATTGCAGGTTGTGGAATTCAGATTTTCCAACAAATCACAGGAATGGATGCGACTGTGTATTATAGTCCCGCAATCTTTAAAGATGCCGGGATCAAGAGCAGTTCGAAACTTCTTGCTGCAACAGTTGCTGTGGGGTTTACCAAAACAGTTTTCATCCTGATAGCTATTTTACTTATTGACAAAGTAGGTAGAAAACCACTTCTTTATGTGAGTACAATTGGAATGACTGCCTTTTTGTTCATTCTGGGATTAACTCTCTCTTTCCTGGGGAATCGTCCAGTTGGGATAAAGTTGGCCATTCTCTGTGTATGTGGAAATGCAGCATTCTTCTCAGTGGGAATTGGTCCAGTTTGTTGGGTTTTGTCCTCTGAAATCTTCCCTCTGAGGCTACGAGCTCAAGCATCCTCCATTGGGGCTGCGGGGAGTAGAGTCAGTAGTGGCCTGGTTGCCATGTCTTTCCTAACCATTTCTCATGCTATTACAGTTGGTGGAACCTTTTTCGTCTTTGCAGCAATTTCAGCTCTTTCTGTTGCTTTTGTTTACAAGTGTGTCCCAGAAACGAAGGCGAAATCACTAGAGCAAATTGAAAAGCTTTTTCAGACTGATAAGCACTGGAAAGGAGGCGAAGTGGAGCTTGGAGATGTTGAGCATCTAGTGCAGAAGCAATGATACTGGCTTGAAAAACAAATATACACCAATAAATTGCTTTTGCCTCACAAACACTAGTGAGAAACTACAGTACCAAAGCTGAATCTACTTTGTAATGAAGCCTCAGCTGCTTTATCATATTGCATATTGTCTTTTTTCTCAAAATCATGTTTCACATAAGCCTGATTTTTGTGCCAAGAACCTATGCAGTCTCTTGTGTTAAAGTTGGTTGCCTACTTTAGTTGTAGATGTTCTCAAAGATAAATTTGCTGAGAGGATACTTTTGACTGAAAGCTGCAATAAGTTTCAGAAACTGATTGTATTTGTCAAGTTATAAAGCAATTGAAAGAAAGATTAAAAGTTGAAATCACCTTATCTTCAAAAGGTTTGCCATTTTTTTCTATCCTACTTTTACTTTGTTTTGAAAATGCAATTTCCACCCCATCCATAGAAGGAATTCTACTTATCAAAAGTTACAACAACCTTTAGGAATAAAGGATAGATGTGACAACATTTAAGAATAAAGGAAGGGCATCCAATTCCTTTCTATCATATTAATATCCCTGTCGTCATCCGGGTTTTCATCAGCACTTCTGATTGTGCCCATTGCCTGGTAACAACACCAGGGGCCATTGGGTTTAATAAGCTTTGAGTAGCTGGAAAAGCAAAGAGAGCATAGGTGCAGCTTATTGGGAAGCACATATGCTTTTAACCATAAAGCAGTTGCAAATTCCCAGCAAGAGTATCCATTACTGTGTTTCTAAGCACTAATTCTTCACTTTTCAGATCAGGCTGCTCCTACCAAACTACCTTTCAAACATAAAATAAGAGATTTATTCAATGATTGAAGTGTGGAAGTAGAAAGGTTCAAAATTTAGTGTTGAATTATTAATATATAGCACAGGAAAATTGACAATTTGAACAACAGATAAGACTTGAAAGGGAAAGCACATGAAAGGCCACATGGCACATGTAATCAAAAACATCATAATACAAATGAAAGGGATGGCTTTAAAGGTTTTGGGGCTAACTCTGCCTGCATAAATGTTGCTGAGACATCAAGCTTCACCTATATGATTCCAAATGGAGTTATGCACCTCTAAACATAACAAATACAGGGAAAGGCAAACCGGCATTGATCACATGCCACATTCCATTATCATATTATGCAGCACAGCAGCATCCCTTTTGCGTCCGCAACTATCATAAGAAAGTAAAAAAAAACTGCTGTGGAAAATGAACTTAGACTCAAAAAACTGATTGAGTTGAGCAATTGGTCTCAGATGAAAAGTTACTTCAAACAGTTGCTTACTTATTCATAAACTACAGAGCAGCTAGTTACTGAGGTTTAATGAGGTTGGAACAGCCACTTGCATTTCTAAGTTTTATAGACTGTTGGTGGGATGATTCAATTAGCTTGCAGGTATTCTTGCATGGGTTGTTACTTGTTACTGCTACTTGTATCAAATTAAATCATCATCGAGAATACCACTTTAGTAATCATAATGAAGAGGTATAAGTAAGCAACACCCAAGAGAGTTATTCCCGGTTGGATCAGTTAGAATTGTGTCTTACCTAATTCTTTCTAATTTAAGTTGGTACTTTGCATGATCTAACTTCATAGCCGCATCACATTTATATGTAATTAGTCAGATAGAAGCGCATAATTAGGCTGATCATCCAAAA